AAAGAAAGAAAGAAAGAAAGAAAGAAAGAAAGAAAGAAAGAAAGAAAGAAAGAAAGAAAGAAAAGAGAAGAAAAGAAAAAAGAACATGATGGAAACTCATGTCTTCTACTGCAAAATCTACAAGCGATATCTGACTAACATCTATGGTAAGGAAGCCAGGCAGTGGTGTATGCCTATAATTTCAGCACTCAGGAGGCAGAAGCAGGCAGATCTTAAGGCTAGCCAGAGTTATACAGTGAGGCCTTGCCTCAACAAAACAAAAAAAAAAAATCAACCTACAGTTAAGAAATACATTGTTTGGGGCTGGGAAGATGGCTCAGTAGTTAAGAGCACTGGCTCCTCTTGGTTCAATTCCCAGCACCCACATGGCAGTTCTCAGTTGTCTGTAACTCCAGCTCCAGGGGATCTGATACCCTTATACAGATATACATGCAGGAGAAGCACCAATGTACATTAGAAAGAAAGGAAGAGAGAGAGAGAGAGAGAGAGAGAGAGAGAGAGAGAGAGAAGGAGAAAGACATTGTTATATTAATTAGTATTTTGAATATTTATGATAATATATCCCAAAATAACACAACTCTGTATGTTGTAGAATTTCCTATAGTAAATTATAGCCTATTTTGTTTTTAAAACATGTTGACCATAAGTCAATGAGATGGTTCATCATTTTTTAGTACTTGTCTGACAACCTAAGTTTAATCCCTGGAGCCCACAGGGGATGGAAAAAATTGACTCCCAGAAGTTTTCCTCCACATCTGTACCATGAAATGTACAAGCCTGCAAAACTCACACTCACATACACACGTACACATGCACACACCAAATGCATACACAATAATAAGCAATAAAAAATGTTGACCATGATGCAGTTTGTTTTTCTGATGCTCTGATTTAAACAGGGGCCTCATTCTAGGCAATGGCTAACCTGCTGAACTAGGTCCCAGTGCTACCCTGTTATTCTGGAAAACACAAATGCAGGAGTTCTTCATTTTATTTATGAAGGACATGTTTTGGCTTCAAATACACATTTTTATCTGCATAAAGCTCAGTTACCTGAGAAGTTTAAAAATCTAGGAAATAGCCCCACCTACTACTTATTCATATGTCAAGGATCCAGGGAGAAAAATGGAAAGGACTGTCTCAAGAAAAGCCGGGTGGTGGTGGCGCACGCCTTTAATCCCAGCACTCGGGAGGCAGAGGCAGGTGGATCTCTGTGAGTTCGAGGCCAGCCTGGTCTACAAGAGCTAGTTCCAGGACAGGCTCCAAAGCTACAGAGAAACCCTGTCTCGAAAAACCAAAAAAAAAAACACCCCCCCCCCCAAAAAAAGAAGAAAAGCCCTGCCATCATCAAACCCTGGCCTTCCACAGATCAGGCTGCTGAAAAGCAATGTATTTTACCCTGCCCCTACAAGCTACCCCTGACTGCCTCCAGGAGAACTCAAGCTAATCATTTGTCTCATTGATAGCTGTCTTCAGAATCACTTTTTCTTTCTTTTCTTTAAGACTTCTGGAAGGGGCTGATGAGATGGCTCAGTGGTTAAGAGCCCTGGTCACTCTCACAAAGGACCTGAGTTCAACTGTCTTATAACTCTGATTCCAGAGGATCCAAAAGTGCCCTCTTCTGGCCTTTGTTGGCATTGGTCTTTCGTGTGGTACAACGATAAACATGTAGGCAGAACATCTAAACACATTCAAACAAACACAAAAATACTTCTGAAGGTGATTTGGATGTGGCAGAACATTTTAAATACACACTTAGAATCTACAAGAAGCCTAAGTCATGTGGTTCTAAGTCTTTTTTGGGAGAGAGGGGAGAGAGAGGGCCTCTCTATGTAGACCAGGCTGGCCTCCAATTCCTAGAGACTCACATGCCTCAACCTCCCGAGCGAGTGCCAAGATCAAAGATGTGCGCCACAATGCTTGGCGTTTACTGAAAACCTTTAACTCAGAGTCTCAGATTCTTTTGAGACAGGGTCTCACTCTGTAGCCCTGGCTGACTTTGAACTCAAGAGATCTGCTAACTTCTGCCTTCTGAGTGTTGGGATTAAAGGTATGTGCCACCACATACCTCTGTGTCTCTCAGCTACAGGCTGATCCCAGAAGTGAGGAATGAGAGGACCAATGCACCCTAGTTTTCTAAGCTGTCATTTTTCTCTAGCTGCAATCTGGTAGAAGAATATCAGTTACCAAGCATAGTGGCACATGTCTATAAGACCAGCCAGCACTTGAAAATGAAGGCAGGAGGATGAGATCAGCTATTAAAATTCATTCTTGGGGCTGGAGAGATAGCAGTGTTCTGTCTGCATGTATGCCTACAGGCCAGAAGAGGGCACCAGATCTCATTACAGATGGTTGTGGGCCACCATGTGGTTGCTGGGAATTGAACTCAGGACCTCTGGAAGAGCAATCAATGCTCTTAACTGCTGAGCCATCTCTCCAGCCCCCGAAGCCCTTGGTTTTTAAAGAACATCTCTTCTCTCTTCTGTTTGCTTATTTGCCTGTCTACGGATATTGTTTATTTTCAGTAGAGTCAAAATGTTGCCTATATATGTAGTATGTATTTTCAGTTGTGGTATCAGCACAAACAGCCTTGAGGCTCTATTACTAAGTTTCTGGCTAGAGAAAAAGGGGATAACAATGTGAGGATTTCAGCTTGCTTGTATTTCTACACCCACACATGTACACCTGGCCAAACATCAGCTTTTTCTAAACTTATTTCCTAATAAACAGGCAACACTAAATATTACTAAATATATTATTAATATTTCTGAAATCCCATGATTCTATCAATCAATCTCTGTCTCTGAGATCGGGTCTTGAAGACTTCAGATGAATGCCATGCTAGTTGATGGCTTGACTCTATCTATCTTCATGAGAAAGCCTTGGCTAGAACTATCCAGCTAAGGCCATGAACCCTAGAACCTGTATGAAGTCAATGTCTGTTATTTTAAGTCAGTAGTAAATCGTGGAAATATTTGAGGTCTAGAGGTAGATAACTAGCATTCCTTATGACCAGTCATTTCTGGAGATTATCCTACAGATGGAGAAATATCCCCTTACTTTCTAAACTCTCACTGTCCAAATATAAGAATTGATATAAACTAATTTTTTTCTTTTTATTTCTTTTACGTGTATGAGTGTTCTGCCTGCATATATCTATGCATTTGCATACCCATGGAACCAGATTCCGGAAGGGAAGTTACAGATCATTATAAGCTGCCATGTGGATGCTGAAAATCAAGCCCAGGTCTTTTAGAAGAGCAGCAAGAGCTCTTACCTGCTGAGCCATCTCTCTAGCCCTCCAAATCTTTAAAGAAACAATTCTACCTGGTGGATGGGGCTAATGGAGCAGACAAGTGAGCTTCCGCCCAAGCCCCTTCTGCTTTCCATCTCTCCTGTCTCAAAACATTCCATGCTGGGCAGTAGATTCTGACAAAGTCTTCAAGCAAAGGTTTTAAAAAAAAATTGTGTATATGAAGGTCAGAGGACAATTTTGTGGAGTTGGTTATCTCCTACATTTATGAGGCTCTGAAGATTAAACTCAGGTCATCAGGTTTGGGCACCAAACACTTAACCTACAGTCATTTCATGGGCCCTGGCCCAGAAAGAATATTTATTTACTTTATTAATTTATTTGAGACAAAGTTTCTTTGTGTAACCCTGCCTGTCCTGGAACTCAAAATTCCACCTGCCTCTGCTAGGATTAAAAGTGTGTGCCATTACATTCTGTTCCCAGAAATAATCTTTTTTTGTTTGTTTGTTTGTTTGTTTTGTTTTGTTTTTCGAGACAGGTTTCTCTGTGTAAAAGCCCTAACTGTCCTGGAACTAGCTCTTGTAGACTATGCTGGTCTCTTACTCACAGAGATCTACCTGCCTCTGCTTCCCAAGTGCTGGGATTAAAGGCATACACCATCACAGCCTGGCCATTTTGTTTCTTTGTATCTTTGTATCTTTCATTTTGGAGACAGGGTTTCTCAGTAGTTATGGAACCAGCCCTGAGACTCACTCTGTAGACCAGGCTGCCTCAAACTCACAGAGATTGAGCACCTGACAAGTGCTCTACCATAGAGTTATATCATCAACCCTATATTTTGTATATTTTAAATTTCTCTACTTTGGGGACATAAACTAGAGACTGTTGCCCGTGGGAACACTATTAATAGTCTACAAAAAGAGTGGAGAAACTATGATCTCTGGGTCAAATCCATCCTTCAACTTATTCTAAAGTTTTACTAAAACATAGTCATGTCCATTTACTCTCTTGCTTGCTATTACAGCAGAGTCAAAGCATGTTGCTAAGTATTAACAATACACAAAGTTCACTGACCCAGACACCCATGTAGGTGGTGCACGGAGGCTAGGAAAGGGTGCTGGATTCCTTGGAACAAGAGTTATAGGCACTTGTACAACACAGTTTTTTTTAAAAATATTTATTTATTTATTATGTATACAATATTCTGTCTGTGTGTATGTCTGCAGGCCAGAAGAGGGCACCAGACCTCATTACAGGTGGTTGTGAGCCACCATGTGGTTGCCGGGAATTGAACTCAGGACCTTTGGAAGAGCAGGCAATGCTCTTAACCTCTGAGCCATCTCTCCAGCCCCTACAACACAGTTTTTATGTAGGTACTGGTATCTGAACTCTGGTCTTTATGATGCATAGAAAACACTCTTAGCCACTAAGATAGCTTTCCGGTTTCTTGACCCTAGTCCTAAATCATAATGAGCACCCCACGCTGTTTAGAGAGGGGGGTACCAGGAACCTCCTTTTAGCTGTATTGTGATGATGAAACCACAAAAGCTAATTCTGTTGCTGGGGTGATGATTAGAGACCAGCGGCTAGACTGTAGAAAGGAGGGAGGGAGGAGAAACAAGACAAACAGAAGAGCTGCAATGTGGGTGTTCCGGAACTGAGTGATACATAACCTATAGATGGATCTATAGACAGGCATGGTGGCCTTTAATCCATCCCGGAGCAGCAGATGCAGGAGGTTCTCTGTGAGTTCAAGGCCACCCTGATCTACTGGTGAGACACCGCACACATACACACGTCGGAGAGAGGGAGAAAAAGAGTGAGAGATTATGTAGGTGGGTACGGATATAAATAGTCTAGATATATGTCATAAGGGAAGCATTCTAAGTCTGAGTGGGGGTGAGTAAAACCCCTGTTCTGTCTTCCACCTACCTGTTCTGCCAGCCAGGCAATATGCTTGACTTCCTTGCTGCCTCCCGCTGTACTGGTTGCACCAAGCATGGCATTGAGTTCAGCCAATACCTGTGGGAGGAGAGCCATTATGTTGGTGTGGATAGCTACGAACCAGGAGTGTGCTGTGGCCGTATCTTTGCAGCGTAGGATCAAGGTGTTCCTGCTATCAGGAGAATGTAGCTCTATCAATCTGTATGAAGAGAGAAAAGAGAAAAATGAGCTGAGTTCCAAGCCATCACACTACCAGAGTTAACTTGCTAACTGCAAATCTAGTATAGGAATGTGATTTTCAAGTAGAGATACTTTAATTTCTGAGAGTCCAATACCAGAGAAAACACAATGGATGGACAATAATTGGGACTAACAGCTGGATTTGTTGATGTACTGTGCCCATGGGATGGCCAACAGTGGGACACTTCACTTTTCCTTAATTTCTATGTCAAAGAAACAGAAGTCTGTTGGACATTGCAGGCAGGAACACCAACATCAACACCCACACATGGGCACAAATAGGTATATTTAGTATCTAAAAGTCAGGGTTCTATGTACACCATGCACTCTAGGCTGGCATCACAATTGCTATGTGGTTGAGGATGACCCTGAACTCCTGCTCCTCTGGCCTTCACTTTTCAAGTGCTGGAATCACAGGTGAATTTCACCACACAAAGCTAAAAGAATTTTATATTTAATTTTTTTTAATATTTTGAAAATAATTAGGAGCTGAAGAGATGCTCAGTGGTTAAGAGCACTTGCTGTTTGAGTAGTGGACCCAGGTTTGACTCTCAGCACCCAAATTAGGTGGTTCAAATAATAATAATATAAACTGACTATAACTTCAGCTCCAGGAGAGCCAATTTCTTTGGCCTCTGTGGATACCTATACTTATGTGGACAGATACGCACAAAAACACATACATAACCACAAAGAAAAAAGAAAAACCCAGGGTGGTGTACACCTTTAATTCCAGCACACGGGAGGTAGAGGCAGGTGGATCTCTGTGAGTTTGAGGCCAGCCTGGTCTACAGAGTTCCAGAACAGCCAGAGCTGTTACACAGAGAAACTCTGTCTCAAAAAGCACATTTAAATTTTTTTAGTTAGATAATACTGGTATAAAGTATAAAAGCCTAACAATAAACTAAAATTCTTTTATTTGAAATAAAGGGATATTAGCAGGATATTATTTTTCTTTGTGAATATTATTCTTTATAAAAATTGGAATTTTATTAATTTATTTGAGACCGAATCTCACTATATAGTCTTGACTGGTCTAGAACTCGCTGTATAGACTCAGCTGGTCGCAGCAGACTCACAGATATCCCCCTGCTTCTGCCTCCCAAGTGCTGGGACTAAAGACATGTACTACTGCTGCTGCTGCTGCTGCTACTACACTTGGCTAAAGTTACCTTTAGATCAGCAATTCCAAGGCTGCCTCCAGGCTTCTACCAGTCATGCATTAGGCATCCTTGCCCTACTCTTCTAGTTCTACAGTGAGATGGGGTCAAATTAAGGTCATTAGGTTTATGCAGCGAGTTGATAGGTCTCACTATATAACACTGGTTGGCCTCAAATTCATGATAATCCTCCTAAATGCTAGGATGACAGGTCTTGACCACTATGTAGCTCCAAATACTTTAAGTTGTTATTTTATATTGCAAATGTTTATTCTCAAATTCTAATGAGTCTATACTTTTTTCTAATATTTACTTTATTTGTGTTTATGGTGTGTGTAAGTACCCACAGACGCCAGAAGAGGTCATCAGATGAGCTGGAATTGGAGTCATAGGTGTGGGCTGGGAACTGAACTTGGGACCTCTGGGAGAAAAGCAATCATTCTCAAACACTGAGACACCTCCCTGGCCCCCAGTCAATCCTTCCTTAGATACATTATTAATTGAGTCCCTACTAAATGACAGGTATTGTCACTGCAGAAACACAGATCAATGGAAAAAAAAATCCAGTCTCTATTCTAATTGAGCCTAAGTCTAACAGGGAAGGCAGAAAATGAACAGTTGATAAATCACAATTAATTATAGGTCACAAAAGACGTTATAGAGGACAGTTAGTCCTGGCTATAATGAAGACTGTGCTTTAAAAGATAGAGACAGGCAGATCTCTGTGAGTTTCAGGCCAGCCTGGTCTACAAAGCAAGTTCCAGGACAGCCAAGGTTACAGAGAAACCCTGTCTTGAAATATCACAAAAAAACAAAAACAAAAACCAGATACTTCTGCGGTAGTAAAGGCAAAGTAGGACTGCAGGGGAGTGCTTTACACTTTGGGCACACTTACCAAACTGGCTCTGTGTGGTGAGCTCATTATAAACCTGGTACCTCCCTAAGGAAGCTTGCCTGCCTTCCTGCCTGCCTTCCTTTCTTCTTTCCTTCCTTCCTTCCTTTCTCTCTTTCTTTTTTTGCGACAGGGTTTTTCTGTGTAGCCCTGGCTGTTCATGTACTCAATCTATAGATGGACTGCTGTGGGATAATGCTCTTGTACACCGTAAATATTTGTCACTCATATTGGTTTAACAAAACACTGATTGGCCAGTAGCCAGGCAGAAAGTATAGGCAGGGTGACCAGACTAGGAGAATTCTGGAAAGAGGAAAGAGATGTAGTCACCAATGCAGAGTAAGCAAGATGAGAATGCCTTACTGAGTAAAGGTACCAAGCTACATGGCTAAACACAGACAAGAATTATGGGTTAAGTTAAAAAAAAAGGGCTAATTAATAAGAAGCTAATAGCTCAAACAGTTTATATCTAATATAAGCCTCTGTGTGTTTCTCTGAGACTAAATGGCTGTGACACAAACTTCTGTCTACAGTAGACCAGTCTAGCCTCAAACTCAGAGATCCATCTGCCTCTGCTTCCCAAATGCTGGGATTAAAGGGTTGTACCACTACTGCAAGTCCTAAGGAGGCTTTTTAAAAAGCTAATTCTAGGGGCTGGAGAAATGGCTCAGCGGTTAAGAGCATTGACTGCTCTTCCAGAGGATCCAGGTTCAATTCCCAGCACCCACATGGCAGCTCACAACTGTCTGAAAATCCAGTTCCAGGGCATCTGACACCTTCATACCTATGCACATAAAATAAAGATAAATAAGTCATAAATTTTTTTTTAAAAAAAGCTAATTCTAGAGCTGGTGAGATAGCTTAGCATGTAATGATATTTGTTGCCAAGCCCAATGGTCTGACTTTGATCTGAAGAACCCATCTGGTACAAAGAAAGAACAGACTCCTGCAAGTTGTTCTCTGACTTCTATAATACACTGCGGCATGCACAAACTCACATAATTAACCAAACATTTAAAGAATAATCCTATGAGCTCAGAGAGCTCATTACAACAAAATATGGGAAGCTGGCAAACAACCATAGGTCTTAGCAGGAAGTCAGGGTTCTGAGCAAGTCATAGGGAGCAAGCCTGTAGGCAGCATTCCTCTATGGCATCTGCTCCAGTTTCTGCCTTGAATTGCCCTGACTCACCTCAGTGATGGAGTATCACCTGAGGATTCTAAGATGACATAAAGTCTTTCCTCCCCAAATTGCTTTTGGTCATAGTTTTTCATCACAGTAATAGAAACCCTAACTAAAATGAGATGGAAGGGCCAAATCCCAGCCACTCTACTCCATAATCACTAACTGGGTAGTGAATTGGTAGCAAGGCTATTTCTGAAAGTGAGACTAAAGCATGCACTACAAAGAGGCAGGAGGACTGTGAGGTCCACACCAGCCTGGCCTACTTAGTGAGTTATATCTCCAAAGATAAAAACAGGAACTAGGAATGTGCCTCAGTTGAGTTTTTGACCCTAAAGTTCAATTCCCACCACTGCAAAGACAAAACCAAAAAAGCCAAATAAACAAAATCCACCTCCAAACAAAAATGCACCTGGCTGAGCACCGTGGCTCCTGTGCTCAGGCAGCTAAGGCAAAATTTCAAGAAACCTGAGGTCAGCCTGGGCCATATAGTAATTTTAGAGTGGCCTAGGATATACCATGAAACTGTCTCAAACGAACAAACAGAATTCTCCATACTAAGTGGCCAATGACTTTCATGACTTCATCCTAGCAAAAGAGTCAAAGTCATTCTCATCCCCACCAAACTGGCTGGGAGAAGCAATTCGTAGTTCAAACTGAATGTCTTTAGGCTGGCCATCTTCTAGAAGGGCTTATTTATTTCCACTCTGTTGCTCTGTCACTGAGGCCAGCATTAACATTCTTTAAACATACTAAAATGGCTGGCAAGAACCAGACAAGAAATTTCCTTCACTCCTCCTACTGACCTAGTTAGCACTAAAGAAAGAAATCAGTTTAAATTCTTTAGGCAAAACCCAATTCTTTTCTGGAAAAAAACCCAAAAAACCTTTACACTGTATAAAACAGTCCTAAAAACAGTCTTTCAGATAGGTCATGGCATCCACTGGACACTGAGTATCCTATTAAGACTTCTAAAAATCTTGGTATTAGATCCTAATTATAAATGACTGGAAGAATGAAAATAAACCTGTTATAGAATAAAGCTAAACCTGACTAATTGGGAGTGAGCAGCAGGACAACAGGGCTCAAACGATGAAAAGGTCAGGAAGTTGATTTTCCAGTGGGATCACCAGTGTTTATGGAAAGAGAAATCTTGCAGCTTCTTGGAAAGGGGTTGGGGAAAAGCTAATCAACAAAAAAACTCCCAACCAGAACTGAGTCTAGGATCAGAAGAGTCTGTCTTGGAGCAGTCCTCAAAACCAACAAAGGCAACATAATAATGCTCGAAATGAGCTATTTAAAAGGGAAAATTAAAATGAAAACCCTGCTAATAGCAGAAACGGAGGCAATCTGCCAGTAACTGAGCCCATAGGAGATAGGAGGCAGCTACAAGGTTAAAGGTTTTGGACTGCAGTCAAACCACTGAGGGTTTCCTGGGAAATTTAATTCCAGTTTGATCAGACAAGTCAAATCAATATTTAGGTAGACAGAAGCATGGAATTGTAAGTTCGGCTTATATTACTTTATCTGCTTGGTTATGTCTTTGACATAACTTATGAGTTAAATTTAGTAATAATCATGTAATTTTTATCACAAATCTCAAGTATACCTTTTACTAAAAAACAGTCAGAATGAAGATGGGAAAGTGTGAGCCAATGCAAAAGACAGATTTAAAACCGCCACATTCCTACAGGACACCGCTGCTTGCTAAGGAATAGGCTCAT